TACTTTTAAGTTATACGCGCTCATTTCTATAGCGATTTTACATATGTTATTGTTTCGAAAATATTTATTTCTCGTTTCTTCGGAGATAATACTCCAGAACGAGCCCGAGTCAACTTCCATCTTAAATTTTATCGCGTTAATATCTAGATTTAAATAACACGGAGCTGTTGCCGCATCGGAATGCGTTACATTATTTGTAGTATAACAGTTACTCGTTATGTTGTTGAACTCGTACGACTCGTCTTCTTCATGGCTGCTACTGACGCTGCCGTTATCGCTGCTACTGGCTTCCTTCTGTGTTGACGTTTGCAGGTACTGTATCTTCTTCTTCTGGCTTCGGCACATTGCTTCTAGATGACCTTGCCGCTTACAATTTCGGCATGTCTGTTGCCTGTGTTTGCAGTTACGGGCTATATGGTTCGGCTTTCCACAGCAGTAGCACACTAAACTCGAATTACTTTTATTTTTGTGGCTCTTGTTATCGTTAACTTTTACCGAATGAATGTTATCATCATGCCTGTTTGATTCGCTCAATTTTTCTGCTGTTGTCGCATTCATTTCTGCTTTCTCGCGTGCCAGCGCTATCTTGTAGGCACCCGCGTACGTTAACTTCTCTTGTTTAAATAGCTCTGCTTTCGACGCATGATCCTTTAGCCCGCATACCAATTGATCCCTTAGCGCCGTCTCTAGATCAGCGAAATTACAATTTAGCGAAAGCTCTTTCAATCGCGCTCCGAAATCGGCTAATTTCTCCGTGGGTCCTTGTTGCGCTGCATAAAATTTACACCTTTCCATCGTTTCCGACGGCTTTGGGCATAAGTGGTCTGATAATAGCTTGGACACTTCGTTGAACTTTTTATCTTTGAGTTTTTCTGGATGGCATAGATTTTTGGCGAGTTTGTATGTGTCCGCGCTTACCCGTGTCAATAAGATGGCTGCTTGCTTTTTTTCGTCACTAATGCCGTTTGCAAAAAAATATAATTCCAATCTTTCCACAAACGTCTCCCAATCATCTTTGCCCAATTCAAACTCCAATTTTACTTTTGAATCTATCGTTGTCATCGCTGATACTGTGTTCACTTCACTCGGTTTTACTTCACTTTTACTTTCCTCTTTTGGTGTGTCCTCCGTTGCTTTTTTTAATTTTCCTTTCAGCCGCTTTGTTGAGTCTTTTGCTGAATATTGTATACCGGCACTTTCCAACTGTTGAATAATTTCTTGTCTAGTTGGTTCGTCAACTTCGTCACTATTGCCACTTTCACTCATTGAACTTTAAATAATTTACGTAAGATCGTCGAATCCTCGTCGCCAATTGTAATGTATTGATTAAACACAATTGTTCTATTTTAATTACTTAAGGCTTTATTTAGAAATTACATAAGAATGTGGTACAGATAGATACAGAGAGCTCTCGAGTGCGCCCGTGCCGGTACAATACTGATATCGTTCGAAGCACGGTGTGTACGACACCATGTGAGTGCGCATACGTGCGCGCTCTGGTGACTATACCACACAAGCTATATCATCGCATAAATCGCTTAACATTTTGTGATGAATGTTGCCAATAATTAAGTACCAGAAGATACAAAAAATGTTAGAAAAAATTGTGAACTTTAATAAGATAATGTATCAAATGCTCTTATTAAATTTTTTTTAAATTCTTTTACAGATTCAGTTAGAGTAAGCCAGTCATCGAATCAACCTAAAGATACAGCCTCAGATAATTCTGGTAATAACCGTATACATTTGAGTGATCTACAAAATTTTTTATCTGAAATACCGGTTTCAAATGATAGTGGATCAACTCAACAGGTAAAGACTTAAGTTATGTTCCATAATACGGTTTTTTGTAAACATCCTTTTCTTACGGTAGTTCCCTTAGAACCTGACCTGCAAATTCTGTGCAAATGTCTAGAAAAAATCTGAAAAAATTCATACGCTTTCCTTGACAATTTCTAAGACTTTTTTGTTCTTTTAAAAATTTTTCGTAGAGTTCATACTTATTGAGATAAAAATTCGCAGATTCTTTGCTTGAAATTGTTTAAATTTGAATTCTTTATAGCTCGTGAAAAATATATTTTAGAGAAAATTTGCAAGAGTACTTTTGCGTTTAAAATGACCCTAAAAACCTTACAAAGTGGGTTTCAGGTCAAAAAGTTTGAATCTTTATTTTTGCAATGTTTTTACATTAACATTTCTGAAAAACTGTATGGTCAAGTTTTTCCAGATTTTTAGCTATGTTTTAGTTCATACTGAACAATCATCTCCTAGTTTTAGAAAAGATTTTATCGATGCGTTTTTTTATAATCACACAAAACAGCGTCTTTTCGACACGCTAGCATAGGGATCCCACGTTAAAGTACCGAACTTTGATTAATTATAGTTCGGAAATAATTTGGTTAAAGTTGCTGAAATTTCTCACACGTATGAAAAGCACTGTCAATAATATGTGGTTAAAATTTCAAGACCTTTTATCGATAGTTATTTTTTTTAGGGAACTACCTTAAGATCATTACCAACCCCGTAGCAACTTGCTTTTTTACAACAATGCAAATTTTCTTTCAAAAATTATGCTTCTTAAACGATAGCTGGTATGGCTGGGCTCTACCAGCATACTGGTAAGGCTAATGATTTTTTAAATAATCGTGTGTCATGCGTCCTCGGATGTGTTCCAATTTTTAGTATCGTTTAGAAACTATTGTGAGAGGAAAGAACAAACGCGCGTTTCGAGCTCCCTCTGTCAAGTAATACAGCGAGAGTTGCGGCGTAAGCTTCCTCATATACATCATATACATAACAGATTTTACAATCGAGACAGATTATGACTTCGTTATATCAATTATGCTCGAATCATTTTGGCGACCTTTGGCTATTTAACCATACTTTTTTGGCAGCATTCACACGTTAAGTTATTATCAACCCATGCGATTGGCATTCTAACCGAAAGATACCTATCGCCCCAACGAGCATATTCATATAAGTTCTCACATAAGATTTTACGTCGTATCTAACGTAGAATCTTACGTTTTATTATCTACAGTAACCGTTCTAACATAAGTTCTTACTTACGAACTGGTTTATTTTTACAGCCTTATATACGGGTGATATCGGCTAAAATGATTTTTTTCGAGTCACAAAATGGTGATTCAAATGAGGGTTGATTTTTGTTTTGCAAACTACCAAACAACAAATTGTAAACAGGCAAAGCTGCAGACAAATTAAAATTATTTTGTCATGCATAGATTGGGTGCACGATTTGACGTGCCACCTCGCGGATAAACTCATCGTTTTACCACCAAAAAAACGTTCTAGTTTAACATAAAAAACAAAGGAGGCGACCACTTTCTTGTTTTTTCCATATTTTTTTTTCATTTCAATTGTCAAGAAATGGATATTATCATTAAAATGGGGATCGAGAGAATCACACACGATATCTTTTCTAACCCACAAACCTCTACTAAGGTGAAACTTCTCGTTGAAAGTAAACACGTTTATTTGGTTAAAAAAGCTCCCTCGCCTACCTAACTAGTAAAATTCAAGATATATGTGCATTACGCACTGTGCCACCTGAAATTCGCGAAAACGTCTTTTTTTCCTCTTCAACGCGAAAAATCTCGATTTTTCCCTTGCTCATCTGTGCTTTTGAAGGCACCATGAGAAAGATAGAAACTTCCTCTTTGAGCCTATCATAGTCTTACATCTGAAACTTTCCATATTGTGTTAGAAATCATGCTTCGAAATTCAAATTGAAGCCCGCTGCCTTAAGAGGATATATTAACCCATTAACACCCAAAGTAACAAAATTTTTCTTTCACGATCAATCCAATTTTTTCCCGTGTTTTGAATCTTGAAAAGACTTCGCATACACATAATAATAAGTCTTTTAAAGGTCTACAGCACGGGAAAAAATCGCATTGATCGCGAACGAAAAAGTTCGACACAGTAATGATCCAAATTCTCATTATTGCTAAACTTGCTCAATTAAAACGGTTACAAATAAAATTTTGAAGTTTCAAACTATTTCCATTGAAAAAGCATGTTTACACAAAAGTAACCCAGTCTGTCCGGTTTCGATCAAATGTTTTTTAACGATTCTGTGACAATCTAAGTAAAGAGGTTATAAAAAGTCACCGTTACAAAAGTATGTAAAAATGGCACTTTTAGGGTATCGCTGGAATAAAACAAAGTCGAATATGTTGGTAGGATATGATGTCCCGTAGTTTATTTTCATCTATAAAGAGTCATAAAACGCTTATGAACAAAGGTATGAAAAGCGACAGGCAATAATGTACCAAAACAGTCGAATAAAGCCGTGTACAGGGTGGCTACATGAAAAATATCATTGTAGCCGATGTCACCATGTGTACACAATTTCTCGCGCAAAAAGTTACAGTAGAACTCATGTTAGAACTTATATGAAATCTCATGTAAGATTTTAATATAATTTCTTACAGCTAAAATTATTAGCTATCAAAAAAATAATGTTTTCAGTCGATGTTTTCGTCGAAATTTTATATTAGTAGATTATGCAACAGGATCAGGGGGTGACAATATTGACAAATGCTTCCGTTGCGTATATATTTTTTATTATACGTGCAGAAAGTCGACTTTAAGCTCGACAACCATGCACGAAAGTAGTACTTTCCGCACAGGGGGATGAAAAAAACTTGATGTAAGTTCTTTTCTAAGTTATTGCTCTAGTTTTTACGCAAGATTTTACTTCTATATTAATGCTTTTGTCTAGAACCAGCTTCTACGTAAGAACTTACACTGTCGATAATCATAGGTAAGATTACACAAAATCTATGGAAGTTCTCAGTAGAACTCACATAATAACTTATTTAATATTTTCATTGAGATCCGCATTGACATATCGAGTTACATGCTTACGTACAATTTCAAACCCAGATGTAAAAAAAGTAAAAATTGAATTTCTTCAAAATTATTTGGAAATAAAAAAAAATGCATAAAAAAACGTGATACGTCCCGATAAACTCGGGCAGCTTGGACCCGAGCTGGCCATAACGGGCCAGGTAGCACGGTTTTTTAAAAACCCGCACACCCCAACTTTTTACTCTTACATTTTTCTACTACTAATCAAGAACCCGCTTCTCTGCGTTGGAGCCAGTAACAAACGGAAAGCGTAATTACAACATAATGGAAGTTGCATGGCTTATAGCAATAATAATATACGGGTAGACATAGGTAGATATCGCTCCTGCTACGCTGTAGATACTATTTTGTACTTTTTATCGGATTAATTTTCACCTTTCGTAGTTATTGTTAAATTACATCAGTTTATAAACAGCAATAAAATTGCAATGCGAAATGCTGCTAGACAAGAATTTCAAGTTAATATTATTCCTCAATTTACAATCAATTTAATAAATATCTCAAAAAGTATGTCCCAACGCATTTTAATTAATTTATGATTTGAAAAATTATTGCATACATGTGAATAGTTGATTGTAAAAAGTTAATAAAAATATATGTTTTTTACAGAACAATCTTGCCTATGAGTTGAGTGCTGCTATCTCTGCAAATGTATCTGTAAACAATAATTTGGAAAGTTCCCTGAAGGAGTTTCTACCTGAAAATGATACTTTATTAACAATTATATCTACACCCCAATTCACTGAAGCGTTATCTACGTTTTGGAATGCTCTTATATCTGGACAAATAGCTCCTATTATACAACAGTTTGGGTTCAGTAAAGAAGTAACAAAAGCAGCTGCAAAAGGAAATATCAAGAATTTTCTAGTTGCTCTCGAAGCGGAGGCCAAACAATCTCTTCATTCTCATGATGATCATCAAACAAACTTAGATACCGTTTCAACCCATGATGGAAACAAACAACTTCAAAATAAAAATTCAGGAGATGATAAAAAAGATGGAGATGACGAAAATATGGCATTAGATTGAATAATGTTTTCGTATAAATCTAAAAGCAGTTTGAGTTGCAAAATTATTGATTAATAAAAAATGAATTTCTAGCTATTGTTTTTTAACTTGTACTTATAAATTTTTTCGTTTATGTATTGAAAGTGAATACTTTATTTCATCCATATCCTAAATGGTATTGATAGTTCTTAATTTTAATCAATTTTATACAATATTACAAATTAATATTACAAAACAAAATATTCACAAGTTCATACTAAACTTTATAAAAAAAATTCAAAAATAATTCTCGTGAATTTTTTAATTTTCTTCGCCAAAATTTCATGTTCGCATGAACACGCTGATCAGTACATAATTTGTTCTTTCATCATATGTAAAAACTTTATATTAAACATAATGTGAACTATGCTACCCACATGGACAAAAATGAGACCAGTAACTACTTTAGTAGAGAGGCTATCAATAGCTCGATGAAAACCAAAAGAGTGCATGCAGAGTAAATATTGAATTTTGGCCCAAATTAAAATATAGTGCTTGTTCTATTCGTTGAAACAATGAACGAATCATAACATTTTCAGTAAGTACATTTTGCAATGTATACACAAAATACTGCAGTAGAACCTATATGATAAAATCCTTTTCAACACTACGTGCGTAAAAAAAGGTTTTTCTAACCTTCCAGTGACACAAAAATCACGTTTTACGCACGAAATGTTAAAAAAATGGTTTATAACTAGTGTGCGACGAGAATGTTTCACCCAGGAGTCAACTTCTTCACGCACTTGTTACAAAATATACTATTAAATAACAAAAACAAGAATTTGATTCTTCGTACGTAGAAAAGTTGAACTTCTATACCCAGGTGAAAATGATATGTTAGATCTGACTGCAGATATGATATCAGATCTGGTATAAGTTCTGGTGAACGCACATCAGATCTTATGCTAGATCTTATATCAGAATTCGCATACGATAATCGACATCAGAACTTACATCAGATCTAATGTTAGATCTGAATCGACTGTATCGCTCTTGATTGTTTTAACAATAAATTTATTAATAATTGAAATTTATTAATAAATTTAGTTGTATTAAGAATAATTCCTCCAATGTTTGGGGTTTTGATAAAGTGAATTTGAATTAATTCGATAACTTATTGTTTAAGATTTATTATTAAATTTTAATTATTCATAAAGTTATTGTTTAAATAATTAAAGGCGTCACAGTCACTTCAGATCTGACATTAAATCTGATATCAGATCTGATGTAGGTTCTGATGTCGAAATTATCGTATGCTAATTCTGATATAAGATCTGGCATAAGATCTTATGGGCGTTCACCAGAACTTATATCAGATCTGACATCGCATCTGGAGTCAGATCTGATAGACTATTTTTACCTGGGATATGTAACGATTTCAAAACTATCAAAACAAGAAAAAAAGAATAGGTTTTTAGCATAAAATACTTTTCTCATATTGTAAGAACTTTAACATTCAAAAACCATTAATAGAAAACAGTATCATTACGTACATATCCATGAACCGATTTTGAAAGTGATTTCGAGAGAATCTATCGTTATTCGCATCGCACTCGCTACGCTCGGGCGCTAACCTCACTCCGCGGTGCTGAAAATAGTAGATGACGCAACGGGGGCGGGAGGTTGTTGATCTGCACGAGCAGAGTTCTTTTTTTTTTGGCCTTGCGAGCGCTGTACAGCGCCCCCGAACTGCCACAATACGAGTGTCAAGTTTGCAGCCCGAGCGTAGCGAGGGTGGCGTTGACAGGAGTGCAAGATTGACTACTGCTCCAGTTGCGTACACTAATTTTCATTACAACGTGCGGAAAGTAAATTGTCATCACAGCCTGCGGGAAGTAGCACTTTCCGCACGCGGTGTTGAAAATGCAATTGTTATCACAGCGCTCGGGCGACAAACTGAGACTCGTGCGAGAATCACCCACTTCGTGCACCAGTGACGTAATGTACTATTATGACTCGAAAAAGAGGACTTGAATATAAACTTAGAACAATGTTATAAAATTGTGAACGATGGTGATGACGTTATTTCAAACGATATTGTGTCAGATTTTGAAACAAAATCGGATGTCGTTTTATAAGAAAACAAATATTATTTTCCCGTTAATTATGAGTTTTATCATTGTTTTTAGCTCATATAGGGTAACTATATTAACCTACATAGAGATCTGATCCGATATATATTGAAGTTTTATTGTTTTCTAACTGTTCAATATTTTTTAAAAGTGTTTATATATTCATTTGTTTAATTACCTTATTAAAAAATGTGTAACTTATAAAACTTGCACGCACAAATAACATCAGGATCAGTGGTAGGACTGCGAAAATGATGACGCAATGAACATTTTTTCACTCCTTTAAATATTATATTTTCAGAAAAAGTTATATTTGCACTTTTTAATCATCAACTCTTGTATCTATTCGATTTTGGTCAAATTCTGAACTTTTCCATAAAAAAGACCGTCTATTTTCGACTACCTTCAATAAACTTAAATAATTTTTAAGTAATGTATCAATTCATTTTTCAAGAACGAAAATAGGTTCCTTATGCATTTATAGATATCTATGTTTATTTATAATGATTTCAGTCTTCAAAAATAAAATTTTAAGCTAGTTTTAAGTTCATGTTATTGATGTTTCAGTAGGGTGATCGGCAATCAAACGATTAGCATTTTTTCGCTCAAATTTTTTGTAAAAAAATTGAAAGTTTTTTTGGATCAAGTGTAAGTACTCGTTCGAAAGGTTACCTTTTTTTGCTATTAGAAAGTATTTTTAAACAATTATTTTAAAGTCATGCATAATTTTTATTAGTGAACGGAATGAGAATTTTTCGTAAATAGTCGAGTACTGGTACTTTTACCCTGTAACTCAAAATTAGCGAAAAAAAGACGGTTTTTTTCTTTAAAAATGATATTCGATTTTGTTTCAAATACTGACTCACAATGACGTTAGAAATAAACGTAATTTTTTTCAACAAGGTATGATTTCGATGTACTGTCCGTGGACTAATTTTATCCACTAAATTACGGAACGTCGTATGCTTACACAAGTCCCATACCGACCGAATTCGTGTCAAATGGACAAAATTAGTCCACAGACATGTACTCATATTGGTTCGAGATAAATGTGTTGGGTGGAACACGGAACAGCGTGGTGAAACATGCATAGAAAATTCCAGTATTCCATGGTACAGATTCAAAGTCAGTCTAGTGTATTGTGACAACGCATTGAGACCATTGAAGTTTTCATGTAGAATGAGTCATAAGAAATAACAAATGACTACAGCTTTTAGCTAGCTTCAAATATAAACATAAAAACAAATAAAGTTGGAATCATTTGACATCAAAATGGTTATTCAAATTTTACAGATTTGAAGTAATACAATTAATTATTTATATTTAGTATAAAATTTAAACATTACAGGCCCAAGAAGTAGAGGAAACTATGAAAAGAATACAATCTCACAGAGGTGTAATTGGAACAATTGTCGTCAACTCTGAAGGTTTTGTAGACAAAAATTTTTATCTTTAAACCTATCCTCCATTTTTATGAATAGATTATAATTAATAGTTTTTTTTTTTTTTTGAAATTGGAAATGAAAACGAATTTTTCAATAATCAGAAAAACAAATATTTAAAAAGCTCCTTTAAGATTTTAAAAACATATGCATGCCTAGCCTAATACTTTGAAAATTTGTATTCAACTAATATTCCTTTTCAGTTTAGTTATTCATTATAAATTTTAGAAATCTCCACACTTCATGTGTTTCTTAAATATATTGGCCACCTCTTATTTTAAAAATTTGTATTTTTATGTGTATTTTATTTTCAACAAAATATAAAAGTAGAATTTTCACATAAAGAAAAAAATTTTACAAAAATTTTACATGTCCATAATAAGAATTCATATTTTTTATTAAAATTTTACTTTTGCTACTGGCCCTTGATTTATTCTAAAACAACCTGGCTTTAAAAAGAAACATGTAATAAAAATATAAACATGTTCTAAATATCTATTATATAATTAACATAATTTATCAATATCTTCATGATCATTTTTTCAACCATTGTCAGAAGTTTCATCTATTATAGAACAATGGACAGTTTACAGTTTTTATAATTTGTAATGTTGATTTTTTAATATAGATGAATGACTTCAATGAATAAATATTTTAATGAAGATTTATTTCAAATAAAATTATTGCAATGAGTCATTCTTTTTAGCTTGAACATGAAAATATTGATACCACGCTAAACTTAAACTATTCATGCTTGAAATATTAGGTAATCATTAAAATCTTAATACACAGTTCATTACTTTGCACAATAAAGTTATTACTATGTTATAGATAGGGTCAATTCTTATTCTCTGTGAAATCCTAAAGTCAAAAAATGTTATCTCGTGTCATGTAAAACTTGTTTTTTGTCTCAAAAGTCTGGGGCTCTAGAGTTGATGTTTTTTCTACATTTATGGCTTTTTATTCATTTAATAAAAGAACTTTTAGCCCAGATCTCAGTGACTTGAAAAAGAGTTTTAGCATAGCTTCTTATCTGAAAATTGCCCAAATTTTTTTGACAAATAGAAATAACTGTATTTTTCTTAAATTTGTTAAAAACATTCAAGAAAATTGTAACTTCGATTTTTATCGAGATCTTATTTTTTTAAAATAGTGAACATTGATGAAGCTACAATATGAAATCTATGAATTTTAAATTTGATTGTCAAATTTACAAAACAATGTTTTAGAATAAAAAGTTTTAAATTTGTTCAAAGAATACGCGTTAATTTTTCCGATTTTTTTTCAAAAATTTTGGATTTTTAAAATCAGCCCCGACGGAAAAAAATCGTTCAAGAAAAAGTAAAAGTAGTAACTAAAACCATCATATTAAATTGTAAAATGTAATAAAATGTAAAAAAATGTAAAATTACTTGCGATTTCGAACAGCCAATGCATTCAAAAAGGCAGTATAAAATCACATTTTTTTACACTTTTTTACACTTTTTTACATTTTATTCAATATGCTATCCACGTGTGATCGCACCGACTGCAGCAAGTGATTTTCGTGAAAAAAATGTATTAATTTTTATGAATAAATTAAGACAAATTATGATGGATATGTATATAAACCAAATTCAGTCATCTCAGTACTCCCCAGTACATCTATGATGATGTGATAAGGCTTTCTGCTGCATTAGAGTGAGTTCACTTTTTTCACGAAAATCACTTGCTGCGGTCAATTCGATCACATGAGGGCTTGACTGGAATTTGAAACTCATAAGTAAAAATTGGAACATTTAAAATTATTATTACAGAATTTTGTGTTTTTTTACACTTTTTTACTTTTTCCATGTAACTTTAATGAGCTTGAATTCATAGGGTTTTCATCTCTCTAATTATAGGTAAACAAATGTAATAAACTGTCACAAAAAGTAAAAAAGTGTAGAAAAACATATCACATGTCCGAAATCGTTAGTAATCTTAAATTTTTTTACACTTTTTTACTTTTTATTACAGTTTACAACATTATTATGCACTTTATTTAAAAAAAAATTTCCGCTGGGGAGATTATTATGTAAAATTCCTACAGTGTCCCCAAAAAAATTCAAAAGTAATCCACACGTTTATTTTCAATAATTGTAAACCCTTTTTTTAAGGTTTTATAGAAAAGTAGCTCGATATTCTATGATATTTAAGTCCGCTGAAAGCAGGAAAAAGTAGAAAACTGACTTACGAAATAATTTTTCAAGAAGAAAATGTACGTTTGTTTTCATTTAAATTCAAAAAAAAGTGATAACGTGAACTTATCGCAAAACTAAAGCGATCCCGAAATATCCCATTCAAAAACCTACTTGTATGGATTTTCATAAAATATTAATATCATTATCTATATTTTCAAAACGATTGTTATTCATGAGCAAAATTTCAATTTTGTGCAGTAAAGGGTTTAATTAGTTATTATCGTCTGGTAGTCAACAAGAGTTTTCAGAATATTTTTAAAAATTTCTAATTTCGATTTCTAAAATGCGACCAAATACATTTTTTATAGATATTTTTATTTTATAAATCTATTTATTATAAAATCCAAGCACATTTTGATATTCGATTCAACACGATACGATCAGGTCACTTTAATATTGTATATAGCTTTTTTTATCATGCACGCACGCTAAAAAGTAAAATAACATCAGTTTCTAAGCACAAACCCTATCTTTACTCGGAAAGTCAGGACGATTCTCAATAGGGCCTTTTGGGTGCATAGAATTTCATATTTGATTGATTCTCCCGAAATCTGCTATTTTAGGTATTGAAAATGAAAAAGTAGTGAACATTTTTTTTCAAATTGAACGGCGCCAACAAGTTTACCTTTTTTAAACCATAAAATATGAATAATCATTGAATCTGGGGTCTTGAGATTTCATTTTACGAAAGCTAAGTCCAATTTTATGCTTGAAATGGACTATTTTCGGTTACGAAGGTGACACACACGAAGGTGACAAATTGCTACTTCAATCAATTACGTTTGAAAAATGAGAAATGCACAAATTTTCCGTACGACCCGAAATTCGGTCATGAAAAACGAGTCTTTTGACGGTGCGAGCGGTTAACAAGAATGATCCTAGCTCGAGATATTCATGTCCACGGAAGTGACCGTTTTTTTTAAACATGTAAATTTTTCAATCCGCAATCGACTCTAATCGAAAGTTGGGTCATACTACTTGCCAGTTATGGAGCCAGGGACATCAAAAATTAGTTAACGACCCAAAACAAGCGGTATGTTTGGAATTATTCAGAAGCATGATTAAAAAGCGAGAAATTTTCAGTTGTGTAGGACATTTTTTTAAAAAATTTTTCAAGGCCCAATGATGCACTTAAACATTACTGTAGATGTATAGAACGTTGTGTCATAGTTATTATAGCGTTAGGTGCTTATGTAAATGTATGGTATATGCAAACAGAGTTGATTTTGTGATCTACACATGACACAGAGGTGACATTTGACATACATATCTCCACGGCAAATGTAACTGGCACTAAAAAATTGAAATATTTATATTCAATCAGGAAGAATACATCAATATTGAATGAATGACCGATCCAGTTTTGGCTTATTTTTAATTATTTAAAAACAGCAACTTTTAGGCGCGCTTCGCGCGCATAATTTTTTCAGTGGAGTTTTAAGAAACTTACTATTTTGACCGTAGGTGTCACTTTATTGCATTTCGTCTCGAGGTATAAGTAACTCGACCAATCACAGGCCGAATAGATTGGCTTCACTTTCAGGTCCATCATTATTTTAAGTGAGGATAGCATGTAGACATGCAAAAAGCAGATTTCAGGAGAATCAACCATTTATTTATGAAAAAAAAGCATTTTAAAAATTTATTGTAAGGGATTGCAGTATGCTTTCAATACGTCTTGCAAAAATGAATATGGATTACCTTAGAGATGAAAAACGGTGTGGATTTCTGCTGAGTGCTATTTGGTTCAATTTCTTTGACGTGGGTGAGAGAAGTTGCCGATACCTAAGCCTCGTTATCTTTGATTATTTACGAAAATAAACTTGCCTATATCCATGTTATTGAAATTATTCAAAATGACACTCATATATGTTTATTCATTATTATCGCACTTACTAATTTGATCACGCAAATTTTTATGTATGTGTACTTCATAATCATACTACTTATGTTTCAAGAACACAAGTATTATGATTGATTTTAATGAAATACAATACTTTTTTAGGTATTCCAATCAAATCAACCATGGATAATGCAACGACAATTCAATATGCTGGATTAATAAGTCAATTATCAGATAAAGCTAGATCAATTATTAGAGATTTAGATCCGACGAATGACTTGACATTTTTAAGATTACGAAGTAAAAAACATGAAATCATGGTTGCTCCTGACAAAGAGTTTATTTTAATTGTTGTACAGAATCCCATAGATTAAGTATTAAAAATTTTTTAAAATTACTCTTCTATATATCATTGAAACCTAACCCATTGTTTCAAGTTGAATATTCTTTATTCGTTTTCATGAAAGTATTTTACGGGATTATACTTATCATTTTAGAGCTTTGACAGATACTATTTAAACGCATATAAGATAATGAGTCTATAAAAAGATGCAATATCATTTTTGTTTGAGAAAACAGGATTTTTTTGAATTTTACGTGGAATTCTACATAAATTATTCATTTAATTTTCAGGTAGATTTCCAGGTACATTCCCATAGTCGAATTCTCCTGTGGAAATTGTCATTAAAATGTACACGGAAGTATACGTGAAAATCTTCAAATACACCGTCTTGAGAAATAGTAGATTACGCAACGGGGCCGTGCGCGAAAGTAGCACTTTCTGCGCGCAGTGATGAAAACACTTTTCGCGCATTAGAAAGTGTGTGAAAAACGCATTTTTCGCTATACTATTACATAAACTAAAGTTTTGCAGAATATAGGATCAGATAACTAGACGAAAGTGAGTTTTGGTTTTTTAAATTGTTTCTTTTACAATGTTTTAAATAGTATCTGACTATTATTGTTGAAAATTTAATAAAAAATATTTTCTTTTTAATGCATTAAAAGTAAATAAGAGAGCTTTACCAAGCAAAATAAAGTAAAATCTTTTCCGAACTGTCCGAAAATTAGTTATTTTACCATGGTTCCCAATTGTTCAAGAACTTTTACTCTTATCACTTTATAGGTTGCAGGCTCTTTAGAAAAATAGTCATTTTTTTCTTACATTTTTAACTTGTAAATATATAATGTATTATATGTTACATAATATATACGTTGAAATTCAAAGGATCGGTATGTAAGGACTAAATTCTCTAACTTTTATTTGATGTACTCAGCTGTCTTTCAGAGACCTCTACGTAATTTGAGTTGATAGAAGGCACTCAGAATTATCTTTTCTAAAATATAAAAAATTAAAATGGACAACGTAAATTATAGCATTTCAAATGAAACTACCATACAAAATTAGCTTAAAATGCTGGGGTAGAGTACACTGGGTTAACATCGATTCTGTCTGTTCCAACAGAGTGGTAGAACGTGTTTAAGCATAGGAAATTCCGGCGTTCCATCGGACAGAATCGATGTTAACCTAGTGTACATGTTTTTATTGTAAATGGCAGAACCGCCTATTATGGCGCAATTAAGGGTTTTTTTAATAACAGAAAATTTACTTGATGATATGGCATTTTCTTTTCATAAACAGACTTACAAAACAGTTGTAATTACGCTGTGATAATTATTGAGCATAGCCTTTTTGCTTAGTTAAATTATAATCTCAAAAAAGTGGCGTCGTCTGCCTTAAGGGTCTTTTATTTTACAAATTACTTAATTATCAATATACGATTCGTCAAAAATAAAGCATCATATTAAAAAAGAGCCCAAAGACATCATCTTAATCCATAATGTTATTAAAAAATAAATAAAAACACAATTTTTGGGGACAATCCGTAGATTTATCCAGTCAAATTTATTAGAAATGAACACGTTAAAAATATATAAACAGTGAGACGTTTTGCAGATAATATTAATCGTAATAATATTCTTATAATGTTAATCTATCCTCAGTAAATTTTCAATATGCTCAAGTTTGGAACCCGTAATATTGTAATAAAACAGCTGCATTGTTTTTATTTCATGATGTTAATTATTGATGATATTTTTCAATCATTATTTTGTAAAAATTAGATAATTGATGTACACATAATATTACTATATAAATTTCAAATCGGAAAAATATTATCTAACTGTTAGGGGTTACGTCATAGTAGACGGTACTCCCCCTTAACTTTTTTTAAAAAACACACTCAAAATGAAAATTTCACTCGATTTTACAACTCAAAAACCATGTTTTCTCATAATTTGGCAACAATTAACGATGAGACATGTTGGGTTAATGAGATTATACAAAAGATTTGTTAAAAGACTAAAATTCAAATTGAATTTCCTCGAGAATGTAGAAGATTCGGGTGAAGAGGCGCGCCACTCACTAGATTTGTTTTTCAAAAGTACAGTTTCTGAAGATTACCTAGTCATAGTTTCGATTTAAAAGCTTGATGGGCATTTCCGCAATCAGAATTTGATTATTAAAAATAAGATAAGCTGTATTTCAAAACTCATAAAAAAACGTCATGTGATGCATGTTTTTTGTGTGGGTTCGAGTTTACATACGATCAGAAATTATTTTCAAGGCAAGAAAAAATTGCTAATTTAACATAAACATTACGATACGAGACAAGTTTTTACACAAATGCTATGGAGTTGACATATTAAAATCTCACGGGATTCCCGCATATTCTCAACGTGATTTAATAATGACGATCGTAAATTTCGAGTTTAATTACTTGCAATAGGTCTCTAAAAGACAACAGTGTACACTGATGGAAAATTCGATCATTTTAGCAAGAACTTGCTCGCGTATTTTGTTCGTGAGTACCACAAGAGCGATGAAATGACTACTAGAACCAATAGCTATGTTCCTCAGCGTCACACAGATCTATCATGGCGTATTTATATTTCATCATATGTATATAAATATTTACAATAGTGGTCTAACTTTATGAATGTTTCGGAATGGCCAGCATTCGGTTAGATTGCAAATAACAAACAATAAATCTTAAAAATATATTAATTAACTTCGTGTAGACGACTGTCACTCGGTTTAATAACCTGACCAATAATCCTTTCCGTTGATACGTACTTTCTGCCAGCCATGCCATGCACGGCTAAAGTCTGCTTCTGTCAGACTAGTTAACGGTGGTGGCACTGTATGTAGCATTTCTTGGGTAATTTCCTCCTCTAAGTCTTCGTAATGTAGTGAGACATTCATGTAACCAACGTCTTCTGTTTCTTCACTATTATATTTGTTGTACTCCTCATCGGCTTGAGGACAGATGGATTCTCGACCATGTTCATCATCTATAATTGGCGATTTTGGATTAATGGGCTTAAAACCGATAGAGCGTAAAAGAGCTATGCGACAATTAACATTGGATGTACGAACAACTGCAAACGCTGAACTATCTATAAAAAATTATATATACAGATATAAGGGAGCCAAAAACAACATTAATTTTAGGTCATACTTACAAGTTCTAGGCGGTAAACTATTATTGCAGAGAGACTCAGTGTCATTATTCGACTCAATATTTTGGGGTTCTTCTTTTACATCGTCCATTTCTATCAGATCGATTTTCATGCCGTTTTCATCAATCGTTTCAATGCCGCAGACACGCTCAGTTTGCGTTCCCTTATTGATATAAGTTGGTTTCAATAATTCACATTGTGTCGATGTTTCTTTTAATTTTGTTTTTTTTTTACCCACTGTCTTTCTAATTTCTTTTTCTGATTTATGAATCGTAAAATTTTTTGATTGTATTCTTGGCACATTGATCATTTTTCGCTGAGGAACCACTTCGGCTTTTGATAATCTTTTCCTTGGTGATCGTAACCTGCCACTTCTTGTAGCTCTTGTAATAGTTTCAAATTTAGCATCAATTGCTAAATTAGCTATTTCTCTTCTTTGTTTGTTGAGAATGTTTTTGTGTTTGTTTTTAATGTAAAATTTATTCTTCAGTTTATATTCTTTTGATTTTGAAAAATCATCTTGATTTTTTATAGTAGTTAAAGTTTGATAAGCAGCTACAATTTTTGATTCCTCGTTGTTCAAGCCAATCATATTACCTATTAATAATTTTGCCATTGGATGTGTCTTGTCTTTGACTATGACATTAACAAGTTTATCTGGAGCTAAAGAATCTAAGCCAGATTTAGATCCACAGATTGTTGAAAAACCTGCTGGTTCAGCTTCTGTGTTCATTCTTACAAAAGTTTCTTTTGAAGGGATGGGACCATTTGCATTGTTACATTTATTTAATGATTTCTTTGACATCTTTTATAACTGCTTATTGCTTTTGAATCTCTTATTTTAAAACTGTAAGAACTAAAATTGCAAGCCTTTGACAGCTTATACCTTACATAAAATAATGTATGACTTTTGTTTTAGTTGTATTTTTCTGAGTTAAACTATTTGTGGGATGTGTCAAAAAATGTATAATACTTTTTATATCATATTTATATGCTGTTTTTAGATGAATATTTGAAAAGTCTCAACTTTTTTTACCAATCCAAAATGTACTTTGTTTTTTTAACTTAATTCTAAAGATCCTTGATATTTGTTTCTATGCTAGTAAAGGTAAGTATACCATCAAAATCATCATCAATCAAATGAAATGTCCATATTGTTACTGTCTAATGAAGATTGCTGCATATATTTCCATCAAATGGTTTATGCACACTATTCCTAAAGCAGTTTGAACAATAACCACACCAAGATTCTGGTTGACAATTGAGCACTGGTCCATAATGAATTTTTTTCTAAAAAATTCAATTAACGATTGAGTAATTAGTGAGTACTTGCAATCAATACAATTATTATATTTCTATATTATGAAAAGAAATTACTTTTTTTTATTTTTTCACACATATTAAAATAAAACAATCGTACACATACTGACTTTTATGATCAAAACGAACATAAAACTAATAGAAAAAAATAATTGAAACTAAAAAGTTAATTCTTTTTTTTTACATGAGCTTAAGCAACTGATTAGTGTAAAATAAACAAATCTCACCTTGTTGCTATAGATTTGCTGCCTCAGTTTGACAAGCATTCTGCAAATTTTTCTGCTTCCGAAAATTCTCGTTTCGCACGATCGGCGTTTATGCAGTAAAAAAGTGGATTTAATTCTATTCGCCTTCTCGTATCGATATATTTAAATCACCACACACAATAAATATTTTAACATGAAAGTCTTGATTTTGATATAAATTTTTCCAATACATAAATCAATAAATAAATTAACAAAAAAACAAATGAATCTTCAACCTCCTGTCAAGACTTTGTCTGTGCGACAATTGCAAAAATTTTTTTGACGGTATCAGGGTACGTTGCGAAAACGAGGATGTCTTAATGAAACAGGATAAGGTGGTCGATGAAGTTGCTGCAGCCATCTTGCACCGCACGCAGTGCAATTTGAACTAAGTTAAAAATGAGATTATATACATAATACCTTATCATGCAGCTACCTCTGCAGTAGTAGCTCTCTATTCCGCTGTGCGATTTTCATCGTGTGCATGTTCAACTTGAGCGAACCAAAATAACGTATTTACCTTCCAAGAGAAGAGCCAAAAAATTATATAGAATTTTATTCAACTGGATGTTTGGGTTTTAGAAACTTCATTAAATATCGTGCATGAGACCTCATAGATTCAAGACTTTTTTGATAAAGGTTAGGTCATGAATAATTCATTAACACAGTTTATTATCTCATAGCAATAAATCATATTTATTTGAATAATATATCTGAATCGTTGATATAATAGAGAATGCATCCGTTTTTATACAGCAGGCCATCTTTCTTGATTTTAATCTCTCTCGCAAGACCAAAAATTAAAAAAAAGTATACCAAAGCCATGAATGAATGGGCATCAAAAATTATACAATTGAATGATATGAGTACACATGAGGTTGAATACAGTTTAAAAAAAAACTAATTAACAATAATAGAATAACAAATTTTTTGATAGTAAAGTGAGAAAAATTTTAATTAAAAGCTCAATGAAAATATCATCTTTGATTCTTGTTTTTCCTTTGAGAAAATGAAGATTCAAGTTTGTAGTAAAGAGAAAATAAGAAAAATTATAGACTAAATATAATTAACGAAAAGTGATATAAAGAAATTATTCAAAATTTCCATAACACTAATATGCAAACACAGTAGTTTCAGAGCATCTCTCAACTTGCCAGTTTGTTTTGGTTTCATTTATCTTTTCTTTACATTAAAACCATAAGATAGTTGAGAATTTATTATGTCATAGCGATGACAAAGTCAATAAATTTTTTATTGTGCAAATCATTGTACTTTTTTAATAAGAATAATAAAAAAAAATTATTCAATGACACGCATTAAAATTTTTAAATTTCTCTAATTTTGCTTGGCATATATTTTGACTTTGACGCTTCAGCTATTTTTTGATTTTAAATGGCATCAATATCTACGTCATCTCCATCCTCTGAATCATCTTCTACTACTGGTTTTTTAGGTGCTTGCTGAGTTTGTTGTTTAAGAGGTTGTTTAGCTCTATCATCGTATTCAATCTGAAAAAAATCGTGATCATGACATGTTTTAAATAGAAAAAGTGCTTGAAAATACATTGATTTGTGTTATGTACCTCTAAATCATCATCATCTTCTTCAGAGTCAGATTCTTCTTCCTCAGCTTCTTTTAGCCAGGTAATAAATGGTGCTGCCTTGTCATGAATTTCTTGAGATAGATCTTTGGAAACAAATTTCTTGCTTACTTTACTAGACCAGTCAAATAGAGCTTTTTCTTCCAAAATATCGTTATCGTAGAATAACTGTAAAAATGTAGGTAAATGAAAACTTAATTCCAAAGAGCATTATCAACAAAGATATGTCAAAAATGTTTTAGCTTACCTTCAAAATGCCGGGTACCTTAGCCATGAGCGTGTCCTTGTGCAGAGCAATGATTTGTTCGATACCACCAATTAGATACTTCTGAGCCTTAACGTCTTCATGAGTGAAACGGAGCAATAGAATTCGATACTTTTTCACTTGAGCTGCAATGTGTTGGTCAAATAACAGCTCAGCCAAAACAAGGGGTGCTTTAGTTTTGATCTCAAGACGTTCAGCCTCAGCAACCAGTTCTTTGTGGTTATCGAGTTGGCCAGCGTCACGACGGCACTTAACCAACTTGTAGAAGATATCCATACGCTCCTTCTCACTTTTATCAAGATCGTCGCTAATTGTGAGGCCCTTGGCACCGTCGGTGAGATCCTGCATACGAGCACGTACAGCTTCCTCTGATACATCAACGGCCCAGTTGTCATCGTCACCATCTTTTTCGGAAGCTGCAAAACGTCGTTATGAATGTTTTACATATAGATAGACAAAATTTATAAGAGGCAAGGCATGTAGTTTAATGCTTACCCATCTTGACAGGAGCTTCAACGATAATGTCGGTGGTGCTGGTATTATTTTCATTGTCTGGGGAGCCCGCACGATCTCCATTAGCATCACCATTAGCCTTCTTCGATCGCTTGGCCCGTTTGCCTTCGGTAAGGGAGCTACCTTGCGCTGCCGGATCTAGGCTAGGCGGATTCTTCAAGATATAGGTGTTGAGCTTATGGTTGCTTTCTAGCATGCCATGATGACCGCAAGCCTTGCATCCTTGCGAGATGGTACCTTTCCTCGCGTTAACGAGTAACTCAGTCTCGGGGTTATCACAATTAGGACACAAGACGTACTTCCTGATAAAACCATCAAGGAGATCTTGCAATTTTGACGCATCGTGGCTCCCGTTGACGATGAAGCGTTCGTTCTTAAAATCGAATTGAGTCTGAGCACCTAGCTCGCAACCAAAGAATTTCGTTGGATAGGTGGCTGGCCGACCGATGGCTTTGGCCACCTCGACCATATTGACGATGACGGTCTTAATGCCATTACCTTTGCCCTCAACTTTGGCCTGAATTCTCGGCATTTTGTAACGATAAAAGGCATCGCTAACGCCACGGTTGACATTGACGCTACCCATTTTGAGAAAGTTTCACTAGTTTTTCGAGGTAAAGAAAAGCACCGAGTAAAAAATTTGAGAAATTTCGTTTGGAAGTGGAAAACAGCTGAGAGAGATGAACGATTTATCTGCTATAGTACAATGAACTTGCGAGCATTCAACGGAACTAGCGATTATTCATTCGATGAGCTTTCACGTTGGCTTGTGCTGGTATTTAGTATCCTAACGGCACATGGACTGTTGCGAAAGGAAGCACATTCGGATTAGGACCTTATGCTTCAAGTCATATTAGAAAAATGATCATACCGTTTTCAATAATTATCTCAGGTTGGTAAATTTTTCGTTCTGCTGGTACGCCTAGAACCGCGCTTAGCGCCTAAACTGCAAATCAGCGACGACTTCAGCTTGACAATCTCTATGAGTCGAGCTTTCTTCGGGTGAGAACAGTGCAACGCTGGCACTAGCGCCTTCCTTCTGGGACACCGGGATACGTGTCGCGTCAGTGTGCTGCTCTTTTTTCGTGCTCAGTCGCGTTGCGTCAACCTCCGACGATGACACCAGTCACGTTTCTCTAAACGGCTGAAGCTTCCGATGCCTATTACTAAATGAACGAAACAAGAAATCGTGTCAAGTAACGAGTGCAACGGAGAAATCTCACAAATTTCAAAAAATTCTATCGTTACCTGGAAAATTTTGCACTCGGATATTTGAGCAATAAAGTGTTTTGCTGTGCGTACAAAAGTTTGCTATCGCTCGATAGTTGTTGCAGAGCGTTGCAAAGCCTCGTCCGCGATGGTCCGCGTCGGCAGCTCGCTTGCTCACCTGCCTGATGTCCCACAATGATCATACACGCAGCCTGTGCTGTGCAACCTGCACCTAGTGTGCTCACAAATTCAGGCCCGTTTAACGGAGCTTCTTCCCGGAGCAGATCAAAGCTCGTCGACGAATGATTGCTTATGGTGACCGGTGCTGAGCGCTGGGTGTACCCGTCACGATGGAACTGATCGGAAGAATGAATTTTAGCAACGCTAGGCCACGAGCCGCCACCGCCTCCTGTGTTGTACACCGTGCCTTTCCTTCGGGATGATATCCTGGATGTTTCTGTAACATTCATACAAATAATGAGTTTTTTTCACTTGCGAAAATGCACGTCTTTCCGTAATATGCTTGGAAACATCATAAAAATCTATTGGCATTCCTATGAAAATTCCATCAATATCATTCGACGAGAAGAGGGATATAAAAAGAAAGAATTTGATTGTTTGTTTCATAATATAAGTGGCACACAATCGCGTGGAAACAATGGAAGCGCGAAAGAAAACATTTTGCAAAGAGATAAACGCTATGCTATAACTTGATTGTGCACAAAAGAAGAGTAAGAGAGAGAGAGAGAGAGAGAGTTGACTAATGCGAACAAGATTCGTGCTTAATAAATGTCTTGTACTTTTTTCATGAAGCTACAAACTTCAATTTCCTTCGTTAACTATAGAGATTATTTTTCCATTTTAATCGTCAAAAGTATTTGCATGTTCGATTAATATATTACTCAATGATAGTAACAGTAGTATGATTATATATAAATATCGTAGTCAACAAATTTAATAACATGTGATCGAAGCAGAGCCAAACCTTTTAATTACGTATTTTTACCTCGCGAGCCTTCAGGAATTTTTACCAGTTAAGAATTGTAAAATTGACCCGATATCTATCTTAAATTCAAAAGCTTGCGAGCGCTTTGTGAAGAATCAATCTGAGCTTACCCCTAATGCATGTATACGCGTTATCTTCCCCTTTCCCCTCCTCTCCACTTTCTCCAGATGCTCAAACGAGCGACCTAGTGACATTTTTCCATCCAACTTTTAATCTTTTGCAAGTAAACGAGACTCACCTGCTCGGCGTAGACGCATAAGTCGTGCTTTCCTGACGCGTCGACCGCCGGCCTTTTTATTTCTAATCAACAACAGCGACAACAGCCTACAAAACTTCAAATGCCTAACTCCTATTCTATTTACACGCCACTAAGAATTCGTCGCCTTACTGTCTCAACAAAAATAGATAAATAAATAATAATGAGTCAAAGATCGATGTATGGCTTGGAAAAATAACTTTTTCGAGAGCAAGAAATTCGACAACCGAAGCGGACTATTTAAGGCGTATAGAAATGCGTGTGTACGAGAGCTTTGGCTTGTATCACGCGTGCGACTGACTTTCTGGCCTTTGCATACACACTAGAGCTTTCGCTGGGAAATACAGCAGTAATGCTGCAATAGAGAATATACCTGTTCCATTCTTTTGCTAGGCTTTGCGCGCGCAGCAGCCGATATAGCAGTAGCTATTGATCGCCCTAAGCATGTGTCTATAAGTATAATACGTACGTGTGTACACATACAAAGACATATGCAAGTACATCAGCAAAGAAAGAGAGCAAGAACTTGCGGAAAGAGCAAGGTTGCATTTCAGGTCCAGAAGTAACGAAAAAAGCCCGCAGATCAACAATTAATGTCTTATTGCTTTTACAATGTCTCCAAAATATGCTCCAAGAGCCGTAGGATAACGAAAATGCGGAAAAATGTATAAAGAGGGAAAAAGAGCCTGATGTGCAAGTTCGTATTAATATAAAACGATCGAACATGAAATTCTCTTTTTATGTGCTGCGGAGCATTAATTCTGATGGAAAATTTGTATTATTACCTCGATACTTTCGACTGATGGATATAAAGCTGCAAGCTGATGTGTTTATGTAACTCACCTTATGGGATGGATTATATAATTTCTATAGATATCGCTGCTTTAAACTGGTCTTTTTAGAAGCCTTTCGATAAGTCGAATACGCTTGCAAAATTGACTGATGTTCGTTTGCAAAATTGGTAAGACTTTAAAATTTCGTCAATACAAACGAACGATTAATTATTAAAAAAATTTTTTAAATACGATCAAACTTGAGGGTTCATGGTCAATTGAACATTTATAGGTATTAATTTCGTTTAACGCGATAAAATAACACGAGGCGGCAATTAATACATGATTCGCACTGCATTATGTATATGATCCTATTCTTATATATTGTATAAAAACTACCACTCAATTTTTTTATATAAAAATGTAAGATACAATTTTATTTAAGGAAACTTATAATTTATTGATAGTTTACTGAAATGCGAATTATCGCTTTTGTTACCTAGCTATTGATCGCATCAAGAAAACAAAATCGAAGTAATCGATAAAAGGTTTAATTCAACCAAAAGTAAATCAATTCACCGTTATAACGATTTATTTTCATAGAAATTATTGTGCCTATTAAATGCAGAATTACCTTTTGTAAGGAACGTTTGAAGATCACTTGACATTTCATAAGTGAACATATATTTGGCAATGCAGTTAGTCGCAATACAAAATGTAGAAAAAAAAACGGCAAGCGTGCCGGTATATTTTTACTCTCCTTCGTAACCACGACCAATACTACAGGCACATCTATTATTCATGCTGTGCATTTTCAAGTTCTAGACTGCAAGACATATTATTATCGACGATGATTATCATTTTTTCGTGTTCGCGCAATGCGATGCAAAATTTCGCGAGAATTGGATTATTTTACGTGGTGCAGTATAATTGATAATTTAAAAATCATTAAAAAGAAATTTTATTTTTAGAACTATAAAAACATTTGCTTGCCAGTTTAAAATTCAATAAGGAATGAAAAAATATTTGCAAATGTAATAAGTGTCCTTATTTCCCTGTACTATTATCATGAATGACCACATCATTTATCTTGGAATTCCATAAGATACAATTTAATTTTAGTGTGAACGTAAATTTGGCACTACTTTATTATCACAATCTTGTGAATGATTTTATATGATTAATTAACCCTCTTTAGTGTTTTGCTTCATTCAAAGTATATCAATTCTATCAATATAACATACATTTTAATTAGATTTTCTTTGAAAAAATACAAATTTTACTTTAAAAAAATGATGTAACCAATTATAAATTCTTAAAAGTGGATTTCATTGGATAGTCAACAGAGAGTATTTATATGTACTTTTTGAAATGCACAATATCATTATGCAGATAACATGATTTGAAAATTTAAGTTTAAGGTCATTAACATTACTCAGAGATGGATTCAGTTGTTGAATTGAGTTCACGGAGCATTGATACATTTCTTTTATTCAATAACAACAACTTTAGTATATTGTACAGCTGAGGTGTCATTGATCAACATACCTTGTTGTCGGAGAAAAGTCATATAAAATGGTAGCGCCCTGCTGGACGGCCGCTTGCTGGCTAAAAGACCCGACGTGGCTACCTTTGGCCTCCTTCACACGCTCAATTTGATTCTCCTTTGCAATAATCGCCAAGCACGCTCTAGCTCCAATATATTGCGATATGTCACTTGGTTGTTGAAGTTTTATTAATTCTTCCCGACGATTGCTTCGTATGCACTTATTCACGACTTTTTGTAATATGCCTTCGATGTGTTTTCCTGCAATATAACAACAAAAATACGTGAGCTTACGTTTATGCAGAACGTGACAAAGCTAGCGATAAATATCTCGTGCTCGCGCAAGTGTGAGTGTGTATATGTAAGTATGTACGAGTATGTAGGAGCACGCGCGCGTCTGAGTGTGTACTTATGGGTAATACATATACTAATAATGCAAGTAAATTGGATAAAATGTAGGTACACTAGTGTGCGTCCAGCGCAACGAGTCTCAGATTCCGATATGCACGATATATCATTACTTCATTTGTCCTAAAAATTGAGACTCATAATAGCACGCACATTGTCAGACTAGCGTATACAGTTTAGCAATTTATCTTGTCGAGCATATGCAAATTTGTGGGACGCGAAATGTATCGATTTAAAGAGCAACTATTTGTCACGTGAATGTAAATGGTAGATTAGCGACGCAGAAAGCAATTCGGAGCATCGGACGGGAGCAAACGAAACGATGCTCCGAGAACGGCCTCGTGCTCGCACGTCGCGATCGCAGAATTAAGGTTATACGAATATACCTGCGAGCGCTATGGTCTCTATTATGTGCGGAGAATGACGGGACCGTGTGGCTCAGGCTGATGGCGAGGATTTCCTCGTAACTGCAGCTGTCTTCCAGATGTTGCGAAAGTGAATAAAATGATCCGCCTCGCTGCGACTGAAACTTGCTCCTATCGCTCGAAAACGAAATAAATAATAAAAACTCGCTGCGTGAAATTGCGAAGTCAAACGTAATCTATGTGAGCTCTGTCGTTCGTCGTCCGTCGATGTATTCACTTTTTTCCTCTGCAAGCGTGTGTGTGCGTAATGCGTACAATATATATAGTCGCTGCCAGCAAACGGCGGGTCCGATCGATTCTGCGTCTCGTATAACTACTGACGACTGTATAGTACGAAGCGAACGCGGCAGCCCGCTGCAGCCGGTTGTAAGCAAAACTTAAGCCAGTGGAAACTCGCCTCTTTCACGAGCTGCTTCGAGCTAAATGGCCTGTGGTGGGGACTCCGGAGTTGAGCGTGAATATCGTCATACATACGAATTTTGTTGCTTCCAGTTCATATCAATGTTAAAAGCAACAGAATTCATCGTTTTATTATAAATATTTATTCCCAAAACTCGAATTTTTAACAACTGAATTAAGCCACGATCAATACGTTCGTTCCGATCTTCTTGTTTTTTTTTTAAACATAATGTTTATTTACTTTTTTACGTTCTCGTTTGACTCGATAAAACAAGATAAACTTGAGCAGATGAGGAAAATTGATGAATTTTCATATGTTCCACTAACAATTGTGAATGAACAATTAATTTTCTCCCTAACCCATAACCACTTATATAATCGAACGAACAATTTGATAGCTGCTAAAAGATTTAATTGTTACTTGGGCGATAAATATACCGACAATAAAAATGATATTTTGCGGTCATGTAGTCATAGATTATTGGTATCGCCTGATCGTATATAAGTGCAGTACAAAAAATGAACTATTGTAAAAGATTTCAAAAATAATAAGCAACGGTATTATCGAGTAACAATTGACAAATGTTGAGTGTTAATGAAAAAATGATTTAATCAATCACATAAAGTCTAATGAGATTTAAGTCTGCGGGATTTATACTGTTTATTCAATAAGAATAATTTTTTGGAAGAATTCAGTGCCTGACGTCGCCGATCGTTCGCAATGTTATCGGTCAAGCACCATCAAATATCAATTACACTTACTAGTACAAATTCATTTATATGGTTTTCGTGAAAATCTTCAGAAAATATTTTCATTTCGTCACTGAAGCTTTCGTAAACGAATAAAAATTTTTAAAAATATGTAGCTAGTCGGTGTTTGAATTGATTGACGCGAGAATGGTATGGAAAATATAGAAAATATAGATGTTTCACATCAAAAGTAAATAAATTTAACATTTAATTGTTGACGACATGAAAGCGGCTCATGTTTTTCCGAATTAAAATAATATTCGTTATTACACGTTTGCGCACGTGTCGTGCTAACGCATCATCGCGCGTCGATGATCTCCGATCAACAATCACTGACGGCCTATAACGGCTGTAACGGACTCGTAGCGCGAATTGATGCGTATCGCGGTGTGTGCAGGCTCAGACTCCAGTTCGTGCGAAGCAGCAGCTGCAGGCGCCTGCCGTCTATATAAGCCATACTTGCAAGTGTTTTGTTGCAGCTAAGACCAGGGGATTGCGCCTTGTGGTTTGCCAAAAGTGAGCATTGGAACTCGGCAGCGACTGGAGGAGTTGATAGAAGTAAGCTAGCAGAACTACGGTGAAGCACAGTACTTTGATATAACCTAAAACATTCTCTCACCGCGCCGCGTTTTTCGGTGCTCGCGTGCAACATCTTTTTCATAATTTTTACGAATAAAGGCGCTGTTTCTGCAAATAACTTTTATAGTAACATTGTAGCTCTATTACTAATTCAAAGAGGATTCGAAGCAATCTCTTATCTTGTATTGGTCAAGTTGTAGCTGGTCAGTTATTGCACAGTACTTTTTCTACGCATACATACATTGATACAAATTTACATGATCATTTTCATTTCACGAGATTATGAAACATATGTACTAGGAGTGGTTCGTTCTTCCTTATTGTTAACATAATATTGATTTTCAGATAAGCAGTTGGAAACGATCTATTTAATTAAACGCTCTCGAAAAAATGGCATCTCCTTTCACGTGTATCACATGTAGAGTAGCATTTCGTGATTTGGAAGTTCAAAGACAGCACTACAAATCAGATTGGCATCGTTATAATTTGAAAAGAAAAGTAGCCGAGCTTCAGCCTGTCACAGTTGAAGACTTTCAAAAACGCGTGATTGCTAATCGAAAACAAATTGATGAAGAAAACCAAAGTCAACATGCCTTTTGTCAAGTGTGTAAAAAGTGCTTCAATACCAAAAATCAGTATGAAAATCACCTGCTATCAAAAAAACATAAAGAAAATGTCACAAAAGTTCAAAATACATCTGGATCAAAAGATGAACCAATGGAACAAAAAAATGGAGAAAGCTCTGGTACACCTGCTGCAATTTTAAGCAATACTAAAGATGACGAAGAAGATGAAATGGAAGTAGATTCTGATGTGGAATCTGTGGATTCGGATGAGTGGATAGAAGATACTGAAAATCCTGTTAATAACAATGATTGTTTGTTCTGCAATCATCATAGCCGAAGTTGGGTGCGAAACTTAAAACACATGACACTTGAGCATTCATTTTTTATCCCAGATGCTGAATACTGCACTGATTTCAGAGGTTTACTCATTTATTTAGGGGAAAAAGTTTTTGGCGGATACATGTGTATTTGGTGTAACGATAAAGGTTGGTATTTACCAATTATTATGATCTATTTTAATAAAATTGTTGCTTAATAACTGTGATTGTATTATCCAGGGAAATCATTTAAAAGTGCAGATGCTGCAAGGACTCATATGATAGACAAGGGTCACTGTAAAATGCTGCATGAAGGAGAAGCTTTAGCAGAATATGCTGAGTTTTATGATTACTCAGCAAGTTATCCAGATGCTGATGTAGCTCATCCAGATGAAGAAGTTGATGATCCCTCTGAATTGGAAGCATCAGATCATCAATTAGTGTTACCATCAGGAAATGTTATAGGACATCGTTCTTTGTTGCGTTATTATAAACAACATTTGAATCCTAATCGTGCACTTACCTTGCCAAAGAGTGTTAAACTAGAACGAGTTATCAATATGTACCGTGCTTTAGGATGGACTGGAACTCAGATTGAAGCTGCAAAGAAAAAAGCAGTGGACTTGAAATATATGCAACACATACAACAAAAATACCACATGAAACTTGGGACGAAAGCCAACAAATTGCAAACTCATTTCAGAGCACAAGTCAATTTTTAAACTCTTTTACAAAAAATTTCTGTTACTATATTGGTCATACAATATTCTTGAGACAGATTTTTTTTTAAAATCAAGACTGTCTAATTGCTCTGACTGATAGCATATAAATTATGCTGCCTACTCATGATTTCACCAATACCTTTGCTTTTTATATATGCAAAGTGTGCAAAACTTTGCATAATATTACCATATTTAGCAGTTTTTGTACAGATTTTAGATGGAAATTTCTCAACGTGTGATCAATTATGTGATAAATCTTAATTATCATTAATCAACATTTTTCACTAATAAAATAGTGCTTGTACATTTGTAAATTTGATTATTTTATTAACTACCATTTCTAATCCTTTCATTTTTCGAGTTTATAAATTTCAAATTAAGTAGTTAAAAAATAAAATGTTTTAATTTTTTACTACCTTACAGTCTTTATTAATTTATTTATATGGAAGAATGAATTCTGCCTACTTTGTTAAACTTTGCACTATTACTACTTCCTTATTCTTAAAATAAATTTCAAAATTAAACAAACTATAAATGTCAACGATTAATTACGCAAAAAATGTCCTTATATAAATTAACTGACCCATTGTCAACTTGCGAATATACTATAAAAAAGGATAAAAAATAAATAGATGAGTTAATTTACACATTTGAAAAGATTTAATTATATAATTCTCATCTCTATCAATATGACTCAGACTGATCCAGGTACTTTATCATTTATTTTCTGCTCTTTTTTTTCTTCTCCCTGTTCTTTTAACTGTCACGAAACTCAGAATGACGAAAAATTTTCATTCAATTACTTGTTCATTCTTCAGTTTTGCTATTTATATTTTTCTGTAAAGCACTAGTGCGCCTTTTAATATATTTTGCGTAAATTCATTTTACACTATAGGGCTGAAAGCTCTTGAAACATTTTAAATTATATATGATTTAATTTATGGGTAGATACTGTAGAATTAGAAGTTTTTTGAGTTGCCGATTTCAGAGGTCAAAGTGAGGTCGGATGTCTGATCAATGTTATAATCAATGCTAAAGTGAATGTAAAAAATCGCTTCATGTTTACAGTATATAATAGTGATGGTCTCGTAGAAAATAGATAGGCTTACACCGGATCGAAGATAAACGATAAAGATGGGCGATGAGAAAAGATTGTTCGGTTCATATAATCCGTAAAAATCAAACATAGTTGCTAGCTATGGATCTATAATGGAAACCTATTAGGAATAAATCACCACATTTGCAACTTGATTTGTAGCTTCCAGTAAAATCTTACTAGATTCCAAGTATGCCAAAAATCCACCGATTTATTTGTGATGCACAAATAGTATTTTTCAGAAGAAACGAAATTCATTTGGATTGAAAAAAAATTATCAGTGTAATAATAATCATACATTTGCAATAATTGAAAAAGACAGTATCAACAATTTTCCTTTTTATATATTTCATTCTAATACAATTTTTATTAAATCTTTCGTGACTTTGATTGTATTTATCCTTCTATCTACAAATAAATTATATATATGTAATATATACGATATTGTATAAATTATGAAACATTTTTACTTCGTTAAGCTTGTAAACCACTTATTTATCACATTGAGGTATGGTGATTTTGACTTTCAGAGTTGTATATAATATTCTAAGATAATCTTGAACTACGCTGAAAATGAAGTGAAATATTTGAAAATAACAAGTTCATTGTATTTGCTATAGGTCAATAAATGAACATTAATATTTCATTAACCTTTTGCAATAACGTACGGTATAATTTTGTGCCAAGTTATTTGTACCATGAGTTACTGACAATTACATAGCAACAGACTGTGTCAAGCTACCACTTTTTTACTTGACAGCAATATGAGACTAAAACTTTTTTTACATCTTCTTGTAAAGTTGAACAAGTTTACAAGTGATTTTCAAAGTTTTAATTGTAAAAATAACCATCCATCCATGCATCCAAAATGAATGGGGATACTAGTTATTCATCCGAAATGAATGAATTTGTGCCATAATGACCGGTGCACGGACAACAATTACAGAAGTCTCGAGTTTAGAGATTTGTCCAAATATTTATCATCACGCCGATGATCTATAATTTTCCTTAAAATTTTAATATTTTATCATTATTTTGAAGTGGATGTACATATACACTCGGCAACAAAATTATCGCAACAAAAAAATTCATCGAAATTTTGTCGATTTTCAAATGCTTCTATCTTGGGCTAGATTTATCGTATCGACACGCTTTTTTTTTTAATTTCTTGGAAATTTTGTCCTCTTTAAATCCATATAAATTAAGATAAGATTTGAGTTAATGTTGAGTTACCAGTAGTATTTGAGCGTGACCCTAAAAATTACTGAAAAAAAATGACTGTTTGAACGTGTACCAGTACCACAGTGATTTTTTTATCGAAATCTAACATACACCATCGCAAAGTGCTCTTTTTAACGAGTAATTTAAAAAAAAAAAGACCTCTCTACGATTTTTTTAACGCCCTGTAGGTCGATTTGAAGATACCATTTAAAGTACGTAAAATCCCCCGTTTACCTGAAATCAAGACGATTTTCTGGGCATTTTGCGTACATAAACCGTACCTTCAAATCGACCTACAGGGCGTTAAAAAAATCGTAGAGAGGTCTTTTTTTTTTTAAATTACTCGTTAAAAAGAGCACTTTGCGATGGTGTATGTTAGATTTCGATAAAAAAATCACTGTGGTACTGGTACACGTTCAAACAGTCATTTTTTTTCAGTAATTTTTAGGGTCACGCTCAAATACTACTGGTAACTCAACATTAACTCAAATCTTATCTTAATTTATATGGATTTAAAGAGGACAAAATTTCCAAGAAATTAAAAAAAAAGCGTGTCGATACGATAAATCTAGCCCAAGATAGAAGCATTTGAAAATCGACAAAATTTCGATGAATTTTTTTGTTGCGATAATTTTGTTGCCGAGTGTATTAATCACTGTGTATATTGTTTTGAAATGGTACCCAAAATTTTTATGTATAGAAAAGTTGTTTTATACACAATAATATCGTAAATAATTGAAACGTGTTAATAAGGTATCTAAAAAATTATAGATTTATAAATTAGCTCATCATATAATATCTCAAACGCATCGATTATATGATACGTTTTAAATTATTTAGAGTTCAAGAGAAAAATATCGCAAGTCTTTCCGCATAGTCTATTTCTTATTGTATGTAAATTCATATGTAACATTTAACGACGATACCATAACTACTTGCTTTATTGATCTGCAAGAATTAATAGAACTGTTTTAATTTTTTCATTATATTAATTATCTCCCCATAAATTACGAGGATGTTTTTTTGTGCCATTTCTATTAGCTGATTCGAATTCCAAAATGTTTCATTATAATACGAATTTTCAAATTATTTTCTTTCAAACACTTCATAATGAAATTTGAACTACGTTATGAACAACAAAATAAGAGCATCGTATATAGGTAGTGGATTTGGTATCACCATAATACGTGTATAATTTTGACAAGAAACAAAATTGAACTTTTCGTTTATTTACTTATCTGACATTCAAAATTGCTAGTTTCTATTTATAATAGTTTTGCATGTTCTAACGACAACTTTTGATACAAATTAGTTTGATCTATTATACGTTATACATCTCCATAATATTATGACTAGCTTGCCATTTTCCATTTGTACATTAATATGTATACCTGTAGACTCGAATACTTGTTTGGTTTTATTGTACTATATCAAGTTTGAATACATTTTTGCGTCTTTAATTTGACGAGCTTATATTTAATATCAGCTGGCTTCTGCGACGATTGAATAATACTGTTATTTTTTTTTATTACATGTAGATTTGTTGCCATATAAACTAATAGAAATATTTTTCTGAGCTTCATCTTATATAATTTTAATAATACTTTTTTAAGCGGATTACTGTTTTATCAATCGAAATCAATGAAACTGTTTTTGATGTACTTCTTTTTTCATTTGATATTTTTCGAGCGAGCTTCGCGTGCCTGTATTTTGTAGTTTTTAATAACGAAAATTCCAAATGATTTCGTTCAGCGTATAAATTTTTAAACACGTTTTTTTTCAAAGTCTAATAAAATAATCCTCTAAATTGAGAGCACCCATTGAAAATGCTAAAAATGCATTACATAGCTTTTTGGAAATACTTTCGGTAAAAAAATTAATGAAGTAGAATCAGTTTCATTAAATTGATCAATAAAGTAAGTGACTCCGATGTCACCTTAACATTAAACCTAAAAAATGACTTTGTCCGTCTCAAAAATAGAAGTAAAAAAAATTGATTCAATTTAAAATCTTGACCATGAGTTTGAGAGCTTTGTGCGGAGGTCCAGGTCTTAGGCTTGGTTCCACATCTGAGTAAGGAATCTCAGTAATCACGTTGAAGTCATATTTGAGGAAGACTTTTTGAGAAAACAAGCCCGTGGCGTCTGCTTTCATAATCTATACATAGTAAAATAGAAAAGAAATGAGATACGATTATTTTTGCGATCGTCCTTAAACGAAGGCGGATCATATATCAAATTTTCAATCCAATTTCTGAAACTACTACTGCATATTTCTCTCAAGAGCTTTAATGCGGCCTTCAATTTGATGTTAATTAGGGCACCATGGAGTCTTCGAGAAATATTATAAGTTGAAGTTTCAGAAAATAAGATTAAATATTTTATTTTAGACTGGCTTTGCCATTACTTTAAAAATAATGTAATCAATTCACCTTGAAACCATTACTCTTAGCAATTCGTATGCTGTTCTCGACGAGTAAATTAGCCAAGCCTCGCCCGCGAAAGCTTTCATCGACACTTAATATCCGGCATTCGAAAATCTCGTCAACGCCATATTTATTTGGTATGTCGCATTTTTCGTTGATTTTAAACAGCAGAGCGAATATACTTTTGAACTTGGGATCTCGTAATTCAGCCAAACGACGCTCGTTTTCGTCTCGTTCTCCACGTTTGACGATGCCATTCAGGGCTGTTCCTGCGATCTACAAAAATTAAAAAAAAAAAAAATCAAAATATGTCTGATCTGCTAACCGACTTACATGTTCAAAAATGTTATGTACACTTGAAAAAAATTAATAGTATCTCGTAACTTGGATACTGTACACCACATCATATCGATATATATTATTATCCACTTTTTTACGTTACATTATTAATAACTGCATACTCTTTTAATAAATGATCAAGCCAAGAGGTGATAAAACTTTCTCTACAGCAAGTGTTTTTAATGAAAAATCAATATAAAGAACACTCGAGTGCCGATCTCGTTCGGTTTAATTTTAAAAGGGAATAAAATTATCATAAATCAAGAAATGTAGAGGCAAGTGTGCAAGTTACCCGCACACGAACATAGCCGTGGCTCAGTGAGATTAATCAGAAAAAATGCACGAGTGGTACATGTGCGCACAACTATTTCTGTGTCCAGGCATGAGCACCAAGCAATAACGTTGCAGGAAACGCGCACTATACAGCAATGTTCTAAATGCAAATTCGCGACAAGGCTCTGTACAAGGGTGCTTTTTACGCGTTCGTAAATAAATTTTCCTAAGTCTCGGCATCAGAAGTTTATTTCCTTCGTGCGCTATAAATTTTACTCCACTTTCAATTTATCTCGCGAATAAATTCAGAAAAACTATCATCAATGACGAGTTTGAAAATCAAATCTTTTAAAACAGTTTTTTTTCCATTATACGTGACTGTATGGATTTATGGAGACGCGTAACAATGAACGTTCATTAAAAATCGGCAAATCTGATCGATGAAAATATTTTTAAACCGTGATCAGGTATTAAACGTCGGATGAAAAGGTTTTAGCACACGTCCAATAAGCAAATAATCTAAAAATAATCCAACTTGAATTATCCTTCCGTCGAGCAGATTTAAATATCGGAAAAAAAAAGATTCGAACTGGCTCAGTTACCTTATCGTTTTCATCGACGATCATGCAGGACATTCTCGATGCCAGAGTAGCCAAGCAGTGTCTCTCGAGCTCGAGGTGATTTTCGCCCTTTTTGCAGAGTCCAACGGCTCGGTTGAGCGGCTCGTCGGCGAAAAAGTTGAGCCTCAAGTGAGCCATGACCTCGTCGTAGCGACGCTTGGGTACCGGCAAGCAGCGCAGCCCGTCGCCGCAATCGACCTCGCCGTTGACGTTGTTGACGACGCTGTTGCTCGCCGTCAACGTCGGCTGCGGCTGCGGCGGCGACGACGACGACGACATAGCGCCTTCGGACATGATGATGCCTCTCGCTCGGGCTATTATACACTGAGAGCGTCGAGCGAGAAGTACCACGCGCGACGCGCAGAGCACACGGCCGAAGGGGGCAGTTTGCGTCAGTGCGCACAACCTAGAGACTCGATTTTACCTTTTTTGTCGCTGGGTGGGGAGGTCGCAATTCGACGAGTCTCTTATATACCCGCACATGCACGTACAATAAGTATATGGAAAAAAAGATGGTGATGTCGCGCGTTATTGCCTGCACGGGAGCTTTGCTTTTGTCGGTACATAAGTATAATGTTTACTCGGGATGCAGTAAAGAAGCGACGCGGGCGATGGGATACGGACGGGAAGGGATGTTTCAGTTTTCAATTGTCAGGCCAACGGATCGCCGATAAATCATGTATTCTAATGCACTTAAGAGGATGAAAAGGACTGGCTTTTAAATTTTTTATTCGCGCGCCTTTTTAATCAAAGTTTTCTGTATGCGCTATTCTTTCTCTGTGATTTATTCAAATAATTTAATCAAATGCGCCGATTTTTTTTCTATAGAAACATAATTACTCGACTTGAAATAATTTCGCGACTATTTAATAAACGAACGATCTTTTTTATTCATACTCTTGTAAACTTGTAAAAAGAGTCGAGCTTAAATTAACTTTATAGGTTGATAGCTACGTATTTAATATTTCAAGCATGTTTTATAATAGCCAGACTATACTAAACCCTCGTGACGTGTGCGTGCGTGCATTAGAAAATATCAGATACGTATCTCATCGGAAGGGAGATTCAATTGAAATTTACTTAGCGAGTAGATATTATTATACTCGTGGTGACGCAATTGTCGTTGTTGTTTTTTTTCCTCTCTCAAAGCTCGAGGGATTTAAAAGTACTCTTTATACAATGCGCTGTACAGTAACACTAATGGAACCGAACGATGTAGGTGATTTCTTTTTTTTATAGCGAGAGAATGAAAATGAAAGCACACGAATGCTGGAGATGGAGTTCTCGGGGTTTGCTGAAAATCAAATTAACCGAGTATATAGAACTCGTCGAGAGCACAATTAATTGCCAATAATGCATCGGTGGAATTTACGATCTTCATAAATGGACGAAAAAATCAAAGAGAAAATGAAAGGAGGAATTTTTGGCTCTATCGATAACTTTTCGTGGACGAAAGACGGCTCGATGCACACAATATTTTCACATACAGAGAGCAGAAAGATCTCTCGGCGCGAGACGTATGTTTATCTGTTATGTATATATGCTGTATATAAAATATTATAAAGTGAGAGCGAAGGGTCCATGATATATTGATTGACCCAGTTCAAGGGGCTAGAACGGAGTCGTGTGCAGAGGCCTGGCAGAGCGCTATAAAGCAGCGGCAGACTGTTGCTTGATACGTCGGTAGCAGCTCTCGTGTACACGTCCGTGCGCGAATGTGTGCCCAGCAGTCGTCGTCGTCGTCGTTATAGCAGTAGTAGTAGTAAAGTCCGGGCGCGTAAGCGCGCCAAGAGGAAAACAACTGTTGCGATCCGCCGGCCCGCTTATGCATATGTCTGTTATACTTGTGTATAAAACTTTATAATCACGTCTCGTTGCTCCGAGATGCCCTCGAAAGCTTTTTCGAGTTCTCTCCACGATTCTCCGCAGTCTTACTTACGCAGCAATTATTATCAACAAAGTCCCAGAAATAATAGAAATTCAGTAACGTTTATTTAACGTTTACAAAGCATTTCGGTCGATCAATCGCCGCAACATTTACATTGTGCGAAAACTTTGGCACTTATTGGACATTCGAATTCCGCAGTATTGAAAAACAGCTTGCACCTGGCTTGGCAAACGGCGAAGCAAGTTGGTGCAGGCTCGTAGGTACCGGCTGATCGCCAATTGTTACAAGCTCCGACCAGTTCATTAGCAAAACAAGCCAAAAACATGAGCGCGATCGTTATTTTTGCACAATTCATGGTTGTTTTCGAGTATTTCTGCAAAAGAAACAAAGTACAAATTATTATTGAAGATTATGACTGCCTGAAAGCACGATGTACCTTATTAAATGGTCTCTGGATACAACAGGCAACGACTAATTCACTTCGAGGAAACTTGCCGTTTAAATAGCTACGCGCTAGTCAAATATAAATGTCATTAATGATAAATATTTGCATTTCACACGTGAGAATCATACTTTATATTTAAGGAAACTGCCACTATGACCATGTTTTTTTATCACAATTGTTTCAATGCATACTTACTCGGTACGCAACTTACTCATTTTTAATGAATTATTGATGCCCGGGAAGTAGTTAATACTTCATCTTCCTTAATAAAGATAAAAACTTTTCATTCAAGAATTATTTTTCGGACGAACGGATTATTCGTTGTAATTTAAAAAAATAGTCGTCTGTAAACTATTCGAGCTCGTTTTTAATTTTTTAATGAAAATGTTAAATTATAGTCCGTTAATTTTGATCTCAAATTTCTAAAAACCTTTAAAGTTTACATTAATACGTATGCGTTCGCATTCGCACGCAAGACCGTAAATTAATTACCCGAGCTTTTTGACGCAGTTCATTGATTTGAGCGAGTTCCATTGATGGCGTACGAGCAAAATTGAAGAAGTTTCGAAATGAGCAAAATTCAACAGATTTTTGCGTATTTTCTCAAAATCCGGAAAGAACTAGAGTCGTTGGTAATTTTTAGCGCGTTGTACGATGTGTATTGCGCACTAGAGCGGACTTGGGCGACATATATATATGTATGTCCGCGAGCTAGACCGGATGACGTATACACGTGCGAATACGCATGTGGGACTTTGGCCAATTTTGCATGCGTAGTCAGCATCGGACCGGTCCCAAACTTTCGTAACGAGCTCCATATAAAAGCAGTCGACGATTGACCGCTATGCATCAGTTGGAATCATCTCGCTCCCACGAAATCATCCAATCTCAAAATGTTTCGACTCGCACTGGCGCTTCTGCTGGCTCTCGTTGCCGCTGCATCGGCCTACCCCAGCGATGGTAATAATATCGTCATCTTCTACTAATTGATCAGTAAAAACGAATAAGACACTTGAAACCTTTCGCATGTTGTACAGAGCACTTGAGGCTGGCGCGCGCCGCGCAACCCCAACATTATCATGGACATGGTCACTTTGGCGATCACTACGGCGGTCACCTCCACGGCCATTACGGTGGACATGGACATTACGTCGATCACGGACATTATCACGGCCACATCGATCATTATCATCACGATCCTTATCACCATCACGGCCATCATCACCATCATTACTAATTTGATGTAGTATATGTATCTTTTTAAGCGTTTAATTGATGGGCAAAAATAATTGGGATCGCATCCGCGCGGATACTCTCATTATTTTTTTCTATATTAATATGACCTCTTGTAAAATCAGTGAATAAAATACTGCCTGGAGCGGTATATCGAGCCGTGTTCGATCGTTTTTTGTAATTTATGTATAAAAGATATGAAAATTATAATAAAAATCAATAAATTCATAAAAAATTAAAAATATTCATTTTTCCTTCCGTAAATGTTATAACTAATGAATAAAAGTACTAAATCGATAGTTCAAACTCGAATGGTATGCCACGGCGTATTGTTTAGCAGCCGTCGATGTTACCAGAGCACTCGATTTGATCAAAGTTACGGAAGATGGCACTAAGCGTTTATTTTATGATATATTTTTACTCTGATTTTGTTCAACTGTTAATGACATACTTTGAAGAAAATTAATAAAACCAGAATTGATTCGAGGTCTTACTGTTGAAAATTTATTTTTTCAATTTAAAATTTACCAAGAGCCTGGGTTTTTCTCGATATCAAATCTTTTAAGGTCGGTTTCCGCAATACTTATGAATATGACATATTTTTAGAAGTGTCCGAAAACAAGCTGAATTTAATTTACCCAGTTTGATGAGGCAACTCATATTAATAATGTTTAGCAAAGCATAAACACTTAGTAGAAATTCGCATTCAATTTAAATACACGTACGTAATTTAGTGAAGATTTGTTTCTCTTTAATACCCGCAATTTTGAATTGGATTATTGTACGCATTATTCCCGAACAGATTATAAAATCAATTATTTGAATTATCAATGAATTAATAATATCACTGACCGTCTTTTACGATTAAAAAATTTTTTTTATCGCAAAATATGCATTAAATAAAAGGAAATTGTTCCATTTAACTTTGTCATTTATTTGTTGCATTGATTTTTTGTTTACGTAGCTAACTCGTTTGATTGGTATTTGGTAAGTTTTAATAGACCCCAAATTATCATTGTAGATAAACAAGTAGCTCACAACTTGTTACAAAATTAGTTGTTGTACAAATTTACTGCAGCGATGTTTCAAGAGCAAAGGCTCTTTTGACTCTGATATATTTTAATAGCTAGTTAATTTTCTCTTAATACGCATTAATTTTTAATCAATGATGAAGAGCAAATTATAAGATAGAGCTTTGTAAAAATATGTAAGCTATAATCTGTCCAGATTACAAGGCGCGTTGGCTGAAATTATAATCGATACTCCGGTGCCTTTTGTCGTGTGCATCAGAAAATTCGCCGTTAACAGCTTATCAAGGCTCGAGTGCATTATATGTATGTACCTTCGACAATCAATGCAGGTGCGTTGTAGGCTTCAATAAGCCTGTCATTGGCATATGCCGCCACGTCTCCATGTTATGTGTTTGTTCCACATCTTACTTGGATAATTGAAAACTCCTGAATTCAGAAATCAATTAGAAAATGGTATTTTCCTAGATTTCTCAAAAAAAAGCTCGGACGCTTCAAATAAAACGAGTTTCGGGGCTGGTTTGAAGCTATATCTCCGATCGTCCGCGACGAGTGATAAATCAAAGTTGTCACTCGAAAAAAGTTAACAAATAACTGCAAGTGTGGGGAAGGAATGAACACATGCAGTGACGTGATTAAATCTACATCTATCTACTACGTACATCGGTAAGACGAAGTAGAAATCTTTGATCATGAATACTTTGCTTCGACAAATCATTAAAAAAAATTAGTCCGCTTTGGAGAGAAATACTTTGGTAAATATTGTCTTATTTGCTAGGAAAAATTTTTGCGTTCGCCAAGAAAAGTGTCTCAGAATTTATGTCGCCGTTGCTTACGAGTAAAAACTAACTAGCTAACTCGCTACTTTTGCTCTTTAATTTTGAATTAAACTTTCACATAATGTCAAAACTTGATAACAGTATTAAAATAATATAGTTTTGTTAAAAATGTTTAGTTCATGCAACTAATATTTTTGGTGCAAAGTTAAATAAATCGTTAATATTAAGTATTGAGCATTTATACGAACTTGAGCAAAAATAGATATAGTGACCTTATGAGTGGTAATGGATATTCAGTTCGGTACGAAATATATTTTAAATCGACATGAAATTAGTTTTTGATTCGGATAAATAAACGGAGTAATTGAAATTTGTAAAAGTATTTGAGCTTCTGATGAAAAGTCAACAAAAAAGGCAAGAATTTTACACGTAAAAAGTTGGGTTTCAGCAACAGCACTAGTGCATGCATACGTAAGAAAGAAGCGGCTGCCAACTGTTATAACCAATTCTGAATGAGGTATTAAGAGATCAGTGCACATTCAATAATCCTCTGGGACGCCTCCCTCTCTCCACCGTGTGCGAAGCCAATGTGCGCCTTAAAATGTAAAAGATTTTCCATTATCTTAAATAGCAGGTATAAAGAGACAAAGCCTTTATCAAGACTTATGCATGTAAAGTTCGTTGGAACAGATGTTGCACGATGTGGCAAATAAGCTAAAAGAGACTTGTACAGACGAAGATTTACAATGCTCCAAAGGTCTATTTCTTCAAACATATACTGTATCGAGTATTTGTGTGCATATAAAGGAGCGAAGAGGTATCAAAGTGTAGTAGCGCAGCACTACCACGGCCGGCTTGACCTCGTTTTTTATTCTACACCGATATATTTTATCTTGAAAAGATGAGCGAGAGAGCAGTGGAGGACGTTGTTTTTTGACGAGGGCGGATTTTATGTACACACCGGTACTCGATATTAAGCATGGTATATATCATATGCAAAATATACATGCGAAAATCGCTTGAACTATGATGAGGGCTAAGGCAAAAAGAGGGTATGTGTTATCGAAGCATTGCTTGCATGTGCGTAAATACAGAGAATTTTTTAGAGTTTCAACTTGTCTTTGCTTTTTTTTCTCTCACGGAGCAGCAAATATATTGAATTATGTCAAAGATGTCATGAGAGATTGCTCGCAGTGTGTGTATATGTGCTGGTAATGTATATAAAGATTCAATAAAGTCCATACGCGTCAATATGAGAGGTATATAAGAAAAGGCACTTTTACAAGCTGTTGGTGCAAACGTCAAAGGTGAAAAGTATATAGTATATAGGGAGCTACAAAAATCCACGGGATATAAAAAATGAAGTACTGCCGGTCGGGAGCTTGCGGAAGGAAAAGGACTATAATCTTCCTAGCTTTATACGTTTTCACAAAATAAATTTAACACAATGAACGGCGCCGCGACGTATACGTATACGAAAATTCATAATTCAGAGCGCTGAAAGTCATAGTGGATCGCCGAGCTACTTCTTCGTGCCCACATTATACATACGAGTATTAAAAGTATGTGTGGATGTTTAAATAGAGTACGTGCCATTACTGTGCCGGGCACGCGCGGCTGTATACGATGTTCATTTGCTATTTGCGCGAGGCAAAACACTACTAGTTGCACCTGCACGCGAATACCCGCGGCCTGGGTAATATTACGAGAATTGCTCGCGCCCTGGAAAGCGCCTAGCGCGCATATTATAGCTCTGCGCGCTCGAAAACCATTAGAGAATTAATTTTTAGCCGAGCTTCGAAGCTATGCGCCACGCCAATTTCTTCGCTCTCTCTCTCTCTCTCTCTCTCGCTAACAGATAAAAATCAAGCACTGGGTTTTTTTTCCTTCGTTCATTTTTGTTTTCAATCGACTGCGATGTAAACGCAGCAGTTGCAACATCGTGAGTGGAAAGTATCAGGCAACGGTATACTCCTATTTATTTTTTTGTTTATTTTGACAACTTTTTAACTTGAGCTAGGAGGAAAATAGCGATGCAATGACGTATACGTCGACGAAAAGATGTGTCGAGAAAACCCCGAAGAAAAAATGAATAACAAACAGACGAGTGTATCCAAAACCGCAATGGGCCATATTCGGATAAATTGAATCGCTAATTATGCGGAGGTGATGACCTCAGCTACATCGGACCGGTTCTTGCAGCTCTCTCTCGGGTGCGTCACGTAGTGTACCAAAACAATAACAGTTGGGAATTTCGCTGATATAAACGTAGCTTGTCCTTGCCTACCGAGTATAGTTTGGATCGCTGCGTTCCAACGAAATCATCTCCACAGAGCTTGAATAATCGAAAAAAATGCTCAAAGGCTTGCTCGTACTATTGATGGCTGTTCTGGTCGTTGCTTCGGCATTCCCCGATGGTATGTTCAATTGTTTCGCGACGAAAGGATGTCAATTTTTTTTGTTCAAATTCCATGTCTAGATTCATTGTCTTTCCACAGGTCCAAGTTACGAGAGAGCTGCTCGCTCCGCCAATCCACAGCACATTCATTTTGATCCTTATCATGGACATGGCCACATCCCCGGACATGGTCATGGCCACGCGCATGGGCATGATCGTGGAAAAGAATACGATTATGCACGCGCTAAAATGCATCTTCACCCGCATCATTGAAAACAAAAATTGGTGTTAATTAATTTTACAGATTGGTATTATGAATAGATAAAGCGTAAGTACCACCACGTGGCCATCGCTAGTGTGAAGTTTGTAGCTGAAAAAATAAACTTTTGTAAATTGAAAGTTTCGCAGATTTTTTCCACATTTCCCGGTATGAATTTCCCAAAAGCTCACGGGATACGATTTATCGCTGTATATTTCATGCGCGCAAATCGGCCTTGAATAATCGTGCAGTTGTCAAATCCGATGTTAAAATTGCCTCTAAGACGACAGCGATAAATTCTTGGCCTACAGATAGGCTTTTCGTCGGGCGCTCTGCAAACTTGGTGGCTGCTTTCGACAAACTTCGGGCCGAGCGAAGAAATGCACATCATCTGAGACTCAGCCGAGGTGGGATCATTACCATAGAGCTTTTCCATATTAACTGTGTAAGAGAAGTGTTTACGCGTTTGCTCGCGACCGACGAAAATTTCTCACGACGCTCAGACTATGAATAAAATATCATCGTCTTTACATTCGATAAATGTTCAACTCAACTCTCAAACGCGCCTCGACTG